CCAGAGGATCTCCACAGTCTTTCTGGTTGTAGTGTATTGTAAGAAGAGTTGAAATTGAAGTGCCAAGCCGCTGTTAAGAGGTCCAGATACAACTTTATTCTGTTAAAAGTCAGGGGTATATTTTGAGGTGTAGCCAACACGTTTCAGGGATCCAAGTGCCCCCTGTATCAGGGATTGTCCTCTCAAGTGATTTTATTTACACCCCCCTGAGATGGCAATAGATGGATCGAATTTCTCAGGGACTGGTCGAGATTCGATCCACCTATGCACAGGTTGGTTTTACTGAACGCGGGTCTTCACCCTCTTAAACAAATTCCCTCCACTCTACCCTCCTCCCATCCAGAACATGTATATATATATATTTTTTTTCATTATTTTAGAAAACTGTCTGGCCACGTTCCCCCATGCTCGTCATTCACCTAGGCAAATGACATGCACACTACACGCTGTGCCTCCTGGGATGTGCATTGCATATCCCAGGAGGCATAGCCTTTCATTCAGGAAAGGAGGAGAGGATGAGCCTATCAGAGTGTTATCAGGAGGCCCGAGCTGGCGAGGCTCTTAAAGATGTCCGAAAGAGCATGGTGGCGCAGGACAGACAGGTGGCATGGCATGAAACGATCTCAGCGGGACAATACTGGATACTCCAACTGTAAAGGGTAATTTTAAATCTTCAAACCTTAAAAATGCCTCCCTTTTTAACCCTCCTGCACATTCCCATATCACAATTTTTAAAAATATGGTTTTAAATGACCTTGAGAAAACCAAGGTCAAAAAATACCATGATCAGTTACACATTGATAACACTATTAAAAACTTGCTAGAAGAAAAAGATCTAGTAGTGAGGCCCGCTGATAAGGGAGGAGGGGTTGTTGTAATGAATAGACCCAACTACCTTACACTAGTAAATAATATCTTGGAAGACAAAGAAACTTACAGGCTTCTTAACAACAACCCGCTATGTGCCTATAAAAAAGAATTAAAATCTTTGATTAACACAGGGTATGAAACTGGAATTTTAAGTAAAAAAGAGAAAGATTATTTATGCCCCACGGCTCCCAAGCTGCCTGTAATCTATTGTCTTCCTAAGATCCATAAGGATCCAGTCAACCCCCCAGGCCGTCCTATAGTAAGTGGTATAGGGTCGCTTTGTGCACGGGTGGGAGAGTATATAGACGGTTTTCTTCAACCGCATCAACCGTTGGTAATAAATACTCCAGCCTTTTTAAGAGATTCAAAACAATTGCTATCTATTATTAAGGACATCAGATTGACCAAACCCACTTATTTAGTAACTGCGGATGTTTCCGCCCTTTACAGCAACATAAAACATGAAAATGGACTCCAAGCAGTTGATTACTACCTGAAAGGTGCTGCGGATATCCCCCCATTACAGAAATGCTTCATAATAGATCTCCTCAAATTTGCTATGTGCCATAATTACTTCTTTTTTAGCAATAATTATTACCTCCAGATTACAGGAGTTGCAATGGGGGCAAAGTTTGCGCCGAGCCTCGCTAATCTATTTATGGCTTATTGGGAGGAAGAGATCATCTACTCCAGGGATTGGCCACATCTGTGTTTATATTGTCGATATATCGACGATATCTTCCTACTTTGGGATGGGGATGAATCCTCCCTTACAAATTTTTTCACAACCCTTAATTACAACACTAATAACATTCAATTGACTTTCCAATATGATTTCCAAGAAATTAATTTCTTGGATTTAAATATTTTTAATAACGGCACAGGGCTATCTACCAAAACTTTCTTTAAACAGACTGATCGTAACAGCTTTATTCCAACAAATAGCTGTCACCTCCCTAGATGGTTGAACAACATACCTAGGGGCCAATTCTTGAGGGTTCGTCGTAATTGTGATAATGTTGAGGATTTTATCCAACAATCAAATATCCTTAAAAAGAGGTTTGTGGAAAAAGGCTACAATGATAACACTCTACAGATAGAAATTAATAATGTTCAGAACACCAATAGAGAGTTGCTCCTGTCTACTGGGCAAATAAATAAAAACACAAATAACGACAATAGGTTCTGTCCCTTTATCACCAATTTCTCTGCCCAACACAAAGATGTTGCCAAGATTATTCGAAAACATTGGTGTATTCTCAAAAGTGACCCAGTACTAGGTAGCTCGCTACCCAACCTACCAGAAATCACTTATAGAAGAGCTTCCTCTCTGAGGAATAAACTTGCTCCAAATGTGGTTAATCCACCGAGACAGATTACGTTTTTTAATCGAAAAGGTTTCTTCCCATGCAACCGATGCATGTTATGTGTTTGTAATGGCGTTCACAAATCACCTATTTTTACCTTTTGTTCTCGCTCTACTGGCAAACAATACACAATAGACTCTACTATCACATGTAATAGCCTCCATGTTGTTTATCTGCTTGAATGTTCCTGCGGAAAACAGTACGTTGGCAGAACTACCAGGAGATTGAGAGATCGGCTACGTGAACATCTCAAAAATATAAAGAAGGGTTTCAAAGAACACTCTGTATCTATGCACTTTCGCCAACAACATAACCGGGACCCTCATTCACTTAAATTTATTGGTATTGACATGGTCCATAAGCATTGGAGAGGAGTCCATAAACGTAGAGCAGTCTCTAGGTCAGAAACAAAATGGATCTATTTATTACGTACATCATCTCCTTTAGGCCTTAACATTGAGTTGGACATCAATTGTTTTATTGACACTAGTTAATCTACATTTATCTTAATTTTTTTAATATACATTTTTTAGACATGCGTTGCTGTCAGTTCGTTTTTTCTTGTGAGGTTTGGCTGCTTTATAATGTTTTTTATTGCCTTCTTTTTATTGCCTTCTATTATTATATTAAGTATTTTTACTACTGTAATATTTTTACTATTGCAATCCGCATATTTTATATCTGTTGTTCCTATGGTCTTCTGATGCGTTTTGCCATGTGGATTTTATTCTATTCACATTTTATTACTGTCTATTCAGTGTTTTTTTTATTCTTCATTGTCATTTAATCATATGTATTTAACTTTATGTATATATTGTGGTCACATGCGTTTTTGTATTGTTAGACGTTTGTCCATTATACCTTAGCATGACTCCACAGTTTGTCTTTGCTAGTAAGACTCAGGTACATATGGCGCAGTTTGGGAATGTTTGATTTGCATGGTCATGCTGCATATATGACGGGTTCCTTTATTAATTACTTACCCTATGTTCCTGCGTTATGCTTATATGTTTATTCACCGGGTGTAATACCTGTCCGAATATTTTCCATCACAATAACATATATGCATATTAATTTATGTTATTATAGGCATTTTGTGAGCCATGTCCACAGAGGCATTTTTTATAGTTATTTCCCCATGCTTTAACAACTATATACACTCTGCACACAGGGTTAGTGTCCCCTTTCTGCCCAATTGCATGCTAATGGCTCCACATATTTGATTGTCCCCATCTGTATCCCTTAACATGGGTTTCACCTTCTTCTGTCCATCTGCACTGTTCCTCAAGAAAATGGCCGCCGTATGAGCGTACTGCGCATGCGCGGCTTTACCGCAATGACGTCACCGGTGCGTACTGCGCATGCGCACCGCGGATTATAAAAATGATCGATTTTCCTGCAATGCACCCCCTTTAAAAACGTGTGTGTGACACGAAACGCGTCAGAGAGGTGCCCCCCCCCACTGTCTGGACATATCTTTTAGCTGCCCCTTGTTCTTGTGACCTTTATTTGTAAGTGTGGTTTTTCTTATCATTGTGAATTACTACATAATAAATGCAATACTACACTATCAAAGCTTCTGGCCTGTGGCTCTCTTTTTTGGAGGGAGCCTGGGCTTTTTGAAGGTGCCTGGTTCCTCTTGGTCTCCTGTGTGTTGCTGGCTGGCTTGCTGGATTCATCTCCTTATTGGCTGATGTGCATCTCTGGAATCATCGTCCTGCTGTCCTGGGAACATGACATCTAGTGGCGAGATATCAGATGACATCATCCCTTCCAGTGGCTTCCTTTCAGAGTACCAGGAGTAGGTCTTAATTACTCCATGCTCCATGTGCTGAGATATCTGGTTAGTGCAAACTTCTTTCAGCTTGTCCAACACAAGAGCCACGAACTTTTTTCCGGTTCTCCAACCGTGGATGCACCACAGAAGTCACGAGTTATATATGCTTTATATTCAATGGTATACTTAATTTAGAACAATTGTATGTTATCAGGTTTCTGTGGTTCTTGAGACCTGTTTATGAGCGCTGCATATTTTATGACATATTACCTGAAGTTTTTTTGAGGTTTACTTTCTATGCTAGCAGCTTAACTAATTATCTTTATAATCCATACACTCATTTATTTGAATAAGTACTAGACACCTAGCGCTGTTGTACTCCAATTTTTAATACTGGATAGGTGAGTATCTGAAATGTGCAGATACCACCTCCCGGTAAGCAGGAATAACATTTTAACAACTGAAGGGGGTTGGGTGCAGATCTGCTTGAAGTTGATCCATCGATCGACTCAAGCATAACCAGCCTGTGGGATTTTTTTAATGCAACCACTGCCAGCGACAAAGGCCACCAGCAGTGATCATTGTGTTCTGCTGGCAGGGAAGACCCCTCAATGGCAGAACACATAATGCAGAGGGAGGGATTCCCCCCATCAACACTGACTGTGTTGATGGAGGAATCAAGCAATTTTCTTTCCTTCCACCCATAGTGGAAGAGAAAAAAAATTGCATAATCTATGGGCTGCTTAACAATAAAAAGAGAAGTACCAACATGGCATTTGGTTCTTCTTTATTTCTTCTCCAAGAAACTTTCTAAATATGCACAAAGGTGTTGTCCTCTTTCTACCAGCATGAATTAAGCATCATTAATCATTATTCAGAAGACTCAAGGTGAACCCTCTGAAGTTCTTCATTTAAGTTCTCCACCTCTCATGCATTATGGAGAATGTGCGGAATCCGACTTTATCTCACATACTCATCTGACTTACCTCTCTTCTCTCCAAAATACAAGGTCTGCTGAGCAGGGTTGGACCACTGGAGAGAGGAGTTTTCATGCTCTTTCACTGTGCAGTTCAGGATCATTTTTCCTCCTGTGGCAACCAAAACATCTGATGTGACCGGTTGGCTGGCTGTAAGAAAACAGAACACAAGTCTGTGAGCAATCTGGTGTGTACGGATACAATACAGCTGCTAGATGGCATGTTCTGGTTTATCATGCATTAAAGTGGAACAAAAACTTTAGATTTTGCCTGCAATGATCTGCACTGACTTGCCTTTTCTTTAAAATCGTTGATCTGTTCACAATATTATTAAGGCCATCAATCTTAACCAATGTATACCCATACCCTTTATCTACTTTCTACATGTAAAAATCATCATTTATTTGCTAGAAAATTACTTAGAACCCCTAAACATGATATTTTTAAGCAGAGGCTCTGGAGAATGAAATGGTGGGTGCTGCAATTTTTTATGTCACGCGGTATTTGCAAAGCGGTTTTACAAACATCAATTTTTTGGTAAATATATACTTTAATTCATTTTAGTGAACACAAACACAATACAATACCAAGTTTTTTTTTTGTAAAATATAAAAGATGATATCACGCTGCGCAAATAGAGGTCTAATAGATGTCTAACATGTCATGCTTTAAAACTGCATATACCACTGCATGGTACCAAACGACTGTACCTAAACAAACTCCATAGGCAACACTTTAAATTTCTTTACAGATTAGCAGCATAGAGTTACACAGGAGGTCTGGTGCTACAATTATTTCTCTCGTTCTAACATTCACACGTGCATGTGAGCACAGAGGGTCAGTGGCACTTAACATTTTTTATTTTACTATTTTCTTCAAATGTATTTTTTAACACTCTAACTTTCTTTTTTTTCTTTTTTTTGTCAACTTTATTGCTATTACAATTGATGTGATAGCATGGGCAATGACAGGACCTCTTTATGAGTAGATCTTCATGGGCTCCTAGACCCCATATCTCTCCTCTGTCCTCCAAAGCATCTGATCAAATAGAGATCAGTTTGATCAGATGCCGTACAAGCCAGTAATGGTTTGCCAACGGTCAGTGGTTTCTGATGTCACAGAAGAAGGGCAGGGAATTCTATTCTTTCCACTCTTCCTAGGGAATGCAACCATCGAGGTCTCATCATTTCCGGGCTGCCTATTTGGATGGGAGAGTCCAGTAAAGGCGGTGACGGAAAAGGAGGGGACCCCCTTCTGTGGCCTGTAGCAGTGATACAGCCACTCTAATCACTTCTACATTAAAGAGAATCAACGGATGAAAATGTTGATACTGGGATGATGCCTGCAGCTGCTGTACCCACTGAACCTCTATGATGTCATATGACAGCAGCAGCACAGTGGCTAAATGGTTAGCACTTCTGCCTGGCAGTACTAGGGTTGTTGGTTTGAATCCCAACCACGGCAACACCTGCCTGGAGTTTGCATTTTCTCCCTGTGCCTGCGTGGGCTTCCTCTGGGTACTCCAGTTTCCTCCCACACTCCAAAGACATGATGGTATGTTAATTGGATCCTGACTAAATTGGCCCTAGTATGTGTATGAATATGAGTTAGGGACCTTAGATTGTACACCCCTTGAGGGTTAGGGACTGATGTGAATGTACAATATATATGTAAAAGTGCTGCATAAATTGATGGTGCTATATAAGTACCTCTAATAAATAAATATGGCATCCTCTGGGTGGAGAGTGGTTAAAATACAATTTGCTTTAGAGGTATCAACAACTGTATAGTGTAATGGGCCTGTCTGACTGAAGAGGACTGTTTAAAGTGGGGCAACACAGTGGCTAAATAGTTAGCACCTCCGCCTGGCAGTACTAGGGTTGTTGGTTCAAATCCCAGCCATGGCACCACCTGCCTGGAGTTTGCATGTTCTCCCTGTGCCTACGTGGTTTCCTCCAGGTTTCCTTCCACACTCCAAAGACATGCTGGTAGGTTAATTGGCTCCTGTCTAAATTGGCCCTAGTATGTGTATGTATGAATGTGAGTTTAGGGACCTTAGATTGTACACTCCTTGAGGGTTAGGGACTGATGTGAATGTACAATATATATGTGTAAAGCGCTGCATAAAATTGATGGCACCATATAAGTACCTGAAATAAATAAATAAGTGAAATTAAAGAATATGAATGTAATATATAGCAATTCACCAGCCCTGGGATGTGTTTTTTTTTATTATTCTTTTTTTTTAACCTTTATTATCACCTGGTGATCCGGACAGTAACACACTCCCTGTACTGTATCTATGGAGGAGCAGTGTTGTCACTCTAGGTGTTAGGACTGTATAAGACATCTCCCTCTCCACTTCTCCATGAAATACTAGGGAGGTGTTCTGTAGTCCTAAATGTTATAACACTGTTTGTGTCCTGCACGTTCTGCAGTGTCATGTTAAAACAGCAATCAATTTCTTGCAGGATCAACAGATATATTTTGGCACTTATTGAACAGGTTTGGGGCTCGTTTACATGGGGTGTATCAATGCACATCCCATGCAAGAGTCATGTATACCATGGTTTATGGCCAGGTGTTCTGTACATCTCTGTGCCGACAGTCCCATTCATGCTAACTGGGATACAGCCGCTGTTCCCATGACATCCATGAGGGTGTATGTGCGTCACCCCAAATTCACACTGCCTGCATTTGAGGCCATGTCTTCGCACCTTGTGAACAAAGTCCTAATGAAGACTTTCAATGGTATATTTAACAGTCCAAAAAGAAAAATTAAAGTGTATGCAGAATGAAACAAAAGTAATACTCTTGTGCTACACCTTAACCAATACTGTGGCCTCCAATCAGTTACTCAAAATTATATACCGTATACCAGCAACTAGCCAACACTAACGTGTTCCCACACCCCTTGAAATTGAGTTTAGTAAAATGCAGTGCTGCTGTAAAGTATACAATCCAAAAATTAAATCATCAAAAAATGATCCCATGTGCTGGGATAATACCAACTAAATATGTAAATAAATTATCCTGGGTGTAAAAATTTATAATTCTTCATATACAGTATTATAAAATTCCATGGATAGTGCACTACTAAATATTCCTCAATATCTCATCAAATATCTATACAAAAACATAAAAATGTGCATATCTCTGTCCAAATGCTTTACTTCTGTGCTCACAAGGTGCTCACCTCTGAATCTGACCCATAAAAATCTCTTCTATAGGTCGGTAGGGCACTAGGGCTAGGGTGGGGCCAGTGATGTCATCACATCAATACCGGAAGTGACCAGACACCATGATAGAAGAAATGGTCAGAGACTCTGACCATGCTATAGGAGATGGCCAGAAACTGCAGATATGATACAAGAGATGTTCAGAGATATCCATAGGGACATGATACCAGAGATAGTCTGAGACTGTGGACAGGAAAAAAGAGATGAGACCATGGATATGAGAGATGATCAGAGACTATGGATATAGAAAAGTGTTTTTTTTGTTATAAACATACAGCATATATATCCAAATGCGACACATCCGTGCTCACAATACAATCACCTCTGGATTTGGCCCATAAAAAACTCTTTTATAGAACGGTAGGGCACTAAGAATAAGGTGGGGCCAGTGACATCATCACATCAATACCTAAAGGGAACAGACACCATGGGGTTTATTTACTAAAGCTGGAGAGTCCAAAATCAGACTCCCTTCTGCATAGAAACCAATCAGCTTCTAACCTCAGCTTGTTCAATGAAGCTTTGGCAATGAAACCTGGAAGCTGATTGGTTTCTATGCAGAAGGGAGTCTGATTTTGGACTCTCCAGCTTTAGTAAATAAACCCCCTTGATACAAGAGATGGTCAAAAATTCTGGACATGATACACTGAAAAAGATGGTCAGAAACTGTGAACATAATATAGGAAATGTTTAGAGACTATGGACATGATACAAGAGATGGTCTGAGACTGTGGACATGAAAAAAGAGATAAGAGACAATAGACATGATACGAGAGATGATCAGAGATTACGAACATAGAAAAGTGCTCTTTTGATGTAAAAATTAAGACTCCATTCAAGTGATCTATTTCGGAGCTCATAATAAACTCACTTCTGGACTTGACCTGTAAAAGTCACTTTGACATGCTGATAGGGCACTAGGGCTAGGGTGGGGCCAGTGACATCATCACGCCAATACTGGAAGTGAGCAGACACCATGATACAAGAGATGGTCAGACTCTGGACATGATAAAAGAGATGATCAGAGAATGTGGACGTGACACAAAAGATGGTCAGAGACAGTGGACATGATACCTGAGATGGTGAGAGACTGAAAACATGCTGCAGGAGAGTGCCGGAGACAGTGAACATGATATAGGAGTTGGTAGAGACTGGGAACATGATTTAAGAGACTGCCATAGACTGGAGACACAATACATAAGCCTCCTAGACATCACTGCTATAAGGGAAACACAGATTAGTGTCTGCAGGGGCCATTAGGGCTGCACAAAATATGCCAAAGGACTGTACGCAACCCCTGGGCCAGAGGTTGGGCACCAGAGCCTTAGTTTAAAAAAATACTGCTGACTCCTGAATTGGACAGATTGACTTATGATTTCTGTATTAATCTGTTCACCCATGGATTCAACTTTAATGTGGATTTTAGTCTAGAAATTCAATTTGCTGGCTCTATCTCCTGAAGCACCAAGGGTATAACTATGGTCCCATGCCACCAGTAAGACTGTTGGTTAGCTTGGTACAAAAACGTTAATGTGCATGACCCTATGAATCACATAGCTCATTCAAGTTTTTCTAGCAGAAACTGATGAACAGACATATAGGGACAGAAAACGACACTATAAATATTCTTTAAGTTTAGCTGGGAAATGAAATGTGTCTGTAAATATGGGACATCAAAACATCAAGAGAAAACCCTTTATTAAAAAACATCAATCTGCCTCCTTGTTCAGGAAATAATAGGAGCCTAACAAACCGACTCTGACATGATGCGATGTGTACAAAAAGAGACTTATAAGTCACAGCTCAGTCTAGAAAGAATTGCAGAATAATTGGGCAATCTGAATCACCCACATTTGTGCTAACA